CTCTAGTAGTGTGTCGATATTGAGAAGTCAGGAAGCTGGAGGGTGAGGGAGAGATGGTGGACTGGAGGAGGAAGAAGAAGAAGAAGAGCTCTCTCTCTCTCTCTCTCTCTCTCGGTACTAACCTGTGAAAGGTGGCACCTGTTGGAGCGATGGCGGCACCGGTAAGCTCCCAAGGAAGTCCCTTGGCCTTCGCCACTCTCCTCCCTCCTAGCGCTACCCTAAGGTACTAGCAGCGCCAAGCGTTGGAAGACGACTACTATTGTCACCTACTATTGCGGTGGCATCTCTAGAGAGTGCGGCTGCTGAAAGCCCAAAGACCGAATGCCAGCCTCCTGTGCGGACCAGCTATATATAGTGCTGGTTCGGCTGGGAGACTGCCTTCACCAATGCCGAAGGGAGCCAGAGCCTGGCGCCCAAACTGTCTGGCGCCTAAAGTTGGCGCCCAAATTCGAAAAGGCGAATTTGAAAAAGGCCTACCTCGGCCTGGGTGCCTATTGGGCCTCTACCGGAGTCTGGCGCCAAAACGGGCGCCAGGGCTTACCTATTGGTCCTACCGACCTACCAAACTCCCTAGGCCAGGCGACATGGGGCCTGAAAAGGGCCCCTTCCTACTCTGAACCGATACAGGGCCTGAAAGGCCCCTACCGAACCCCTTATCCTACTTGGTCAGGCCCTGCAGGGGCCCGTGTGGTACTCAGTATGCCATAGGAGGCCAACACATAATAAGCAAGGTGGCTCATCTTGACGAAGTCGAGCAGTGTGACCAAGGTGCGCAAGCTCAATCATGATGGAAAACGCCTATTCGAATGCCCCTTCCCTCCTTCTCCTTCCTCTTTCTCTTCCCTCTCCTCTTTTTCTTCTCTTTCGTTGTCACCTCCCTTGTTTGGCTCGTCCTCCTCTCTACTTGTTCAATGCTCGTCACCTCCTACCGTCATGTTGCCATCAATCTTCTTCCCTCTTTCTCTTCTTTGTTTTTGCCTAATTAGCGCTCTCCTCATCTACTCCACAAGGGTTCCTTGCTTAGGACGCGCCGAAAGAGAGTGTGTAGGAAATGAATTTTTCCCTTGCCGAGCAGTTGCGCTTTATGCCAGCTCGGGCTGCTGGTTCGGCCAACTTTTCTCCTCTCTCTCGTAATAAACCTATCCGCTATCTGGCTTAAGATCTGTTGGAAATTGTTATTACAACTAAAGGCACACTAATGTCCTCCCCGTGCCCTTTCAATTTTAACAGATGTCCCGAAGGACCACTGCAAGGCATTGGCCTTGAGGTACTAGCGTTGACCTGGGCCGGCCCAATGTAATTCCGAATCATATTATTTTGGACATTTGATAGTATCTGCGTTCTAACTTGAGTCTGTAATTCAATAGTTTGTGGGTGTACCAACTGAGCTAGGCCCCCACTTTTCTCCTCTCTCTCCTAATAAACCAATCCGCTATCAGGCTTAGGATCTGTTGGAAATTGAAATTACAGCAAAAGGCACACTAACCTCCTCCCCGTGCCCTTTCAATTTTAACGGATGTCCCAAAGGACCATTGCAAGGCATCGGCCTTGAGGTACTAGCGTCGACCTGGGCCGGCCCAAGGTAATTCCGGAGCATATTATTCTGGATATTTGATAGTATCTCAGTTCTAACTTGAGTTTGTAATTCAACAGTTTGTGGGTGTACCAACGGAGCTAGGCCCGTTTGTTTCATCATTGGTCCCAAGATCGGTACCAGACTCGGGCCAAAAACTGGACCACACTAAGTAATAAAATTAGAAATAATAAATAAAAGAAGAATAAGGGTTGGGGGGAGAGAGGAATTGTTGGTACCCCCTCGGTCCCGCCATTCAGCCCCGTACTCGAGACCGGTGGCAAAACTGAAGGGGATAGTTCCACGGGACCCTAAACCCATCAATTTCCTCCACACTCCATCACTCCTTTGCTGGTCGCTGGCCTCGATCCTTGCACCTGAAATGTGAAAGTCCAATGTCGTAACCAATAGGGCTAAGCTCAAGTCTGAGTTTGGCTGGCACGGAACAAAATATAAGGAATACCTGTCCTGGGCCTAAGGCCTGTCAAATTTCCCCAAGGCCGCACCTTGACCTTTTGGCCGAACCTAGGGCCCTCGAACTCCTGCGCCTGTCGCGCAGAGGGCCCGATTTGCATTTACCTTCACCCCTCACACCACTTACCACGCAAAAGTCACGTCGTCGTCAATCTCTGTCTCCGCAAAGTAGCCATTATGTTCAAGGTCGTACCTCCACTATTTCTGCAAGTGAAGAAAACTCCAACCTTTTCCTTGTGTCAGACTTCGCTTATGTATGCCTTGTCGAGGCCGCGGGACACCCCTGCCTGTTAGACAAGGAACACAATAACCAACACGTACTATGAGGGCCCATACGCCGCCTTAAATAAATCAAATGATAGTCTCTAGTTATTGCGCATTGGAAACCAACGTTAATGTCGGTCATGGCAATGCCGACCTCTATGCGCGCTCACTGCGTGCGCGCGGTCATGCTAATAAAAAAAACTAACCTCTCTCTAGTTCGCATTGCTTCGTAAAATCACTAAGTGGGCACTCAAACTCCAAAACTGCTTGCTGGAGGCAGCACGCGCATTGTACTCGAGTAGACGCTTCGCATCTGATCTATGGCCAAAGTGGAGCCAAGGTGCAACGGGAACTAGAGGCCTCTCTTATTTGACATTTAAGGCCGAAGGATGATTCATATATGAGAATTGACTCGACTCATTCTCGGTGAACTTGTAATTCTTCTTTTTCCTTTTCATCTCCTCTTCTATTCACTCCTCCTTCGTTCGCTTTCTTTCTTATTGCAATTTTTGTTTTATATCCTCAACCTTCTTCCCTTTTTTTTCCCTCCTACTCCTTATTTTCTTTGCCAACCTCTTGCCCAGTTTTTGCCTGCTGCTCGGTGGTATAAAGGGGTAGTTCTGTTGGACTTGATGGTGGTACACATCGTACTTGTTCGGTGGAACCCAAGAGATAAGAAAAATCGGAGCAGCGGCCCCCATATCACCACGTAAACGTACACCTCAACACTTAGTCTGCACTTCAACCTAGATTAGGGTCTGACCTAGTCTCCCTTCCCACAGTGTCGCTACAACTCCCCTATCAGCTGGTGGGCAACCAACAATTTAAGGTCAGCCAGCACAAACCTCACGAGTTCTTTAACGATGCAGACAAGACGTCGTGCCCACCAAACAGAAGGTTTGTTTCTAAAGACTAATAGCTCCTGACTGCCTGAACTCCGGTTCGGTCGCATGTCGGTCAGTACCGGTCTTAGGGCTAGACGAGTTGTTTTACGAGTGCTCGACGCTCATGCCCATGCTCCCGAGTCCCTACTTAACATGTGATTCATCCAGTTGCCGAGCTTGTACCCTAGACTCGACCTAAAGCATGCACGAGCATTGACCTCTCACGGGGCTAGGGTACCACTAGGTAAGCATGCCCCTAGGTAGGCCAACAACCACCACTTCCCCACAAGGGGAGGAGCCTTTCCTCCAGGAGAGAGTCTGTCCTCTGGATTGACACAATCTCAAGCAGATCGAGATGCCTACTCGAGACAGTTGCAAAAAGATGTCGTCAACAAATTTGACCAGCCGCGGTGTCTCCAAGATGTGGGAAGGTACTCAAACACACAAATATTCCATCAACAGCACACACAGGGCTTAGGGTGGCGAAGCACTTCGCTAGTGAACGTTCCCTTGTTGACACTCCACGCTGCTGCATATCGCAAAGTCTCAACTGTGTTTCTCATCGCGATGGTCTATGCTGTTGGTTGGAAATGTTGGTGTGGCTACGTAGAAGAGCGTTTTGCTGCACAAGGAAATATGTTGTTAGTTTTTCAGCTGGTTGGAGCGGTTGGCTGTTAATTGATGCTGCAGTCCGATTCTGGAGCTGCTTCCACGTTGGTTTTTCAATCGGGTGGTAACGACTCCTCCTCTTTCTTCTCCTCACTAACTGGCCTAACATACACAATAAAGACTTGGTCAACAAGATCTTGCTTGACCACGGGGGCACTCATGCAACACAGCGAAAGGGTGGACTGGACTCCAGACTCATGGAAGAGTCCGATCTTCTTCTTCCCACCTTGTGGACTGGGCAGCCAACACTCACGCTCGCCCATCTTCACATCGACCTTCGTGACCTCTCCCCAATCCGTCCCTAGCAACATGTAAAAGGGCAGACTATCCTCCACCAGAAGGGACAAAGAATGCACCACTTTCTCATACTTCTTACTCCTCCTCTTCCTTGCCCTCCCCCGTGGGCTGCTACAGTCGCATAGTCGCCTCCTAGAACTATTTGACCGCCCTCAAACTGCTGCTCATACTCTAGGTGACCTTAATCTACTTGCTCAAGGGGGATTTCTTTTGCACCCGCTTCATCAAACGTCACCAGGAGTTTGTCTTTGGCCTGCACATTGCCAGAGATCATCCTGCCCTTCCACTTCTTCCCCCTGTCTATGTCCTTAGTAGTGGAAGTTGCCTTGCGCGAAGAACCCCCATCGGTCCAACGCCTCTTTACTGAAATCCGCATAATTAGCCCCTTCAGCAGCAACCTGCGAATACATTTGTGTCTTAAGGGGCTCAGGCAGGGCCATGGCGAAGTATTCTAACACCTGCTTTGGTGTGACGTCGTGGTCAGGGACTCGCAGCAACACATCCATATACGCATTCAAGGCATGCACACTCTTCCTGTTCCCCCTATACACATTCAAAGTCTTCATCGCCGTCCGCCTCCCCTTTGTCTTATCTTCAAACGGTTTGTATAAGGCGTCCAGATACGTGTCCGAAGAGGTGATGCTGGAGTATTCAACGATATCTCTTTCGCAATTGGCATTCTCTATGACGGACGCTGAGTAGCTTGCTGCGTCGCGGGCAAGACAAGATGCAGCGAACAGAACCTAAGCTGTCCTCACCACCTTCTAGCTGTGCACATAACTCCTCACTGCCGCCTGCCGCTGCAAGAAATTCCTCTTTTTTCTAGTTATAGGTCCAGGGCATCTTGGGGCGCAGCTTCGGTCAACTGTCCAATTTGGCCCTTCACTTCTTGCTCTTCCTCTCCCTTTGCCTTCTTCTCCAACTTCGTGGCTAAGGCCGCCCCATCAGCTAGCAATTTCTTCCTCGCTGCTGCCTCCTTCCCTATCTGCTGGATGGCCTTTTGTGTGGCCTCCATGCGGGCCTCTACCTCGACCATCTGCGCATCTTCCCCGTCCAGCACTGGCAACTCTTTCTCATAGCGAGCTACTTCCCCCTGCAGTTCTTCCAACGTTTAACTCCCAGGTAGGTAGAACGCTCTTGCCCAATCTTGGCCCCCCAGGTAGGTAGAACGCTCTTGCCCAATCTCCAACCTTGGGCGGAGCTCACTGGTCTGTCCCGGGTCCTTCGGGACCATTATTAGGATTGCCCCCCTTCTTGGTCTTTCCAGCTCTTCCTCCTCCTCTTCTTCTTCTTCCTCTTCTTCCTCTTCTTCAACTTCTTCCTCTTCTTCCTTCAACTTCTCCAATTTTCTCTTCTCCTCCTCCAATCTCTTCTTCTCTTTCTCCTTCTCCTCTTCTCTCTTCTTCTTTCTCTTAGCTTTGTCCTCCTTTCTTTGCTTTAAAATCTCCTCTATCCTCTGGTCCTCCTCTGCGGTCAACGGTTGGGTCACGGTTCTGGACTTAGTGGTCACCATTGTGATTGTAAGGCACAACAAAGGTTAGTCAACTGCGCCTCCTCACCTCTTAGACCTATCCCTTAACACTTGATAACTCTACACTTAACCTAATTCTAAGTATGACCGGTCTACTTCCCTTTTCCCCACACCTGTCACTACAGCTCCTCCTCAAACTGGTGGCCAACCAGCTATTTTAGGTCTACCAGCAAGGACCTCAAGAATTATTCAACGACGCAGTCAGGATGTCGTGGCCACCAAGTAGGTAGGATCGTTCTCAAGACTTATGAGCTCCTCATTGCTCTGCCTGGTTTGGTCGCATGCCGGTCAGTACTGGTTACTGGGCTAGCCGGGTTGTTTTACGAGCGCCCGCTGCTCATGCTCGTGCTCCGTACTGCTCAGGTACTGCCTCCAGCTGCTGAGCTCCTACCCTAGACCATGTGTAGCACGTCGAACGTGTTCGCGCCCGTCCACGTTCGTGAGAACAGCTCGCGAACGTGTTCGGGCAAAAAAAAAGAATGATTTTTCCATTTTTTGATATTTTACTCACGTTTGGCTAAGAATTTGAACATGACTCTAAGGCAAACGTTGCTTGTATTGTTGTTTTACATGTGCAAGGAAAATAAGCAACAACGAGATGACAATTTTAGATCACACCATCACATTGAAAGCCAGATAGTCACACCGTGTCTAGAGAGCAGCATTGCACCAATAATACACCAATGGAGGTTCGTAGCACTGAAAACCAATGTTCATGTAGAGCATACTCTCTCCTCTCAACACAAGAGTCCAGTTCCTTCATACTCTCACTTGGCGCTCAGCGCCCAGCCTACTCCTACACAGCTACTACAGACTACGAAATGACAATGCAACTGTTGACATCAGCGGCAGCCCGAAGTACTTGAAGATGTCGCCCATGCAGACCATCGCCAATACAAGGTAAGTGCCCTCACATCATCATCATCATCATCATCCTTCACCTATCCTCTGACTACACCCATGTTTGTCCTCTGTTTCACCCGAAGACCACCTTTGCGCCTCACTGTAGTCCAAGCCCACCAGCTATGGTGGCTGGGCTATGGCGCTGCCCTCAGCAGCGCCCTTCTTCCCTGCACGACCGCACGTTTGCTGCACCCCGCCTCTCAGCACCAGCCAACAGCCGCAAGCCTTTGCTCCAGCAGCGTTGCCGCCAGCATGCGAGTGCCTGAATGAGGCTGCCAGGGGGAGAGCTCTTTCCTTTATGGAAAGAGCCGGCCTGCTCGCGCAACGTGGCTGGACTGGCGTGGGCCCAAAAGCTTCCGGAAGGCCCCAGGAGGCTGCCTGGATGCAGCAGCTACTGGGTTGGTGGGCCTCGTTCAGTTGGGCGCCCAGCTTTCTCTGTATGAGGCTGCGAATCACGCCCGGGGCCTGCATTCCTTGGAAAGGCCCGGAAGGCCGTGGAAATGTTTGTGTAGCACGGCCTGAGTTTCTCTCAACCAACTGGCGCGTCGCAACTGCCTGGACCCCAAATATGAAATTGACAGTCGAGGGCCTTAGGTGATTTGTTAGGCCCGCCTTCACTTAGGGCGGGCACCTCCGCCTTCACTTAGGGCGGGCAATGCTGCATACAGGGCCCCATAGGCCTGTGGAGGACCCAAATCCTCGCATTCCCTCGTCCTTTACTTCGTAGGTCCTCTTAAAAGTCTCTTATTCTGCAGGCATTTTCCCTTTGAGTGATCTTTCATAGCCTGCAATCACTTGAGGTGTTGTTCTTGAGTTCTTCTCGTGTGAACCACCGGTCTTCTTTAGGATCCAGATGATGTCGGAAGCTCAAACGATACTGCATTCTTGGCTTAGGAGGTCGCCCTCTGCCTGATGGTCGAGGAACATGCATCACTCGATGCTCGACGATCTGGTCAATGTCCACTTCGCCATCCATGGTTGGGGGCAGCATTGATCTTCTGGAGGGAAACTGCTCAGTAGCAGCGAAGGGTGCTAACTTAGAGGCATGGAACACAGGGTAGGTACGCAAATGAGATGGGATGCGGATTACGTATGAAGGACCATCTGGTTGATCTCCTACAATATCTAAGATCTCCCAGGGCCCAAAGTACTGTGTCATTAGCTTGCGGGATATGCCGAACTCCTGACCGAGCTCAGCAGACTTAACCCAGACTCTCTCGCCTCCCTGAAAGTTAGAAGGCCGTCTATGTCTATTCAGAGATGCAATCATTGTTTCTTGAGATTTGCTAATATGTTCAACGGCCTGCTGCAATATCTGTTCATACTTGACAACAAACTCTATGCTGCCAGGGGCTGCTGTGGGTTGTCTTTTTGGTAACAGAAAGTCAAGCGCAGATCTGGGTTTCCAACCAAGATGTAGCTGGTTGGGGGTCACACCAGTGGTACTGTGTACAGCATTGTTGTACAGGATGGCGACGAGAGGTAACTTCTCGTCCCAATCATCCTGACTTGGCTTAATATAATGCCGAAGCAGGTGCTGCACTACGCGGTTCATCTGTTCTGCCTAACCATTTGACTGAGGGTGATTCCCTGACGTCATTTGGAGCTTTGTGCCCAGTTGTTCAGCAGCAGACTGCCACAGTTCACTTGTGAACCTTACATCCCTATCACTAGCGATAGACGTAGGTAGACCGAAGTCCCTTACCCAGTTGTCCATGAATAGTTTGATGACAAAGTTAGTCTTTGCAGTTTTTGGCATAGTGATTAGTCTTGCATACTTGGTAAAGCGGTCCACTATTACAAAGATGAGAGTATCCATGAAGTCCATGGACACACTCTGACCAGGACCTTCAGGAATCGGCAAGGGCTTGATTAGCCCAAGCGGTACCCGAGTCCTAGGTTTGTCCCTTTTGACAAACTTGGCATGTTTCAACATAGCGTTTCGCATCTTCCATCATAGAAGGCCACTAAAATCTCTGCACTAAGTTCGCTGATGTCTTTCTATAGCCAAAATGACCAGTTGCATCATGACATTCTCCTAAAAATAAACTACGCAAAGACTTACTATTAGCAACACATAGTCTTTTATTCCCTACCTTCTTGAGAAACAGCAAGCCATCTACCATCGTAAATTCGTCCAAAGTCTTTTTGTCCTTTGCTTGGAATCTACGGATGATCTCTGACATAACTAGATCTCCCTGATAGGCTTCCACCAGCGATCGAGTGAGGTCGTCAGATATGCCGAACTCAGCGACTAGCGCGCCCAAATAATTTGCCCTTCTTGATAGCGCATCAGCCACTTTGTTGTACGTACCCTTAATAGGATCAAGTTGATAGTCATACATGTCTATCACTTGAATCCATCTCTTGAGTGCGTTTGACAACACAGGCTGTGTCTTAATCCAACGCAAAGCCTCATGGTCAGACCTTACACTAGGAGGTAATGTCTCCAATGAACTAGCGCTCTGTACAGGGCATAGAGCTCTCTCTCATAAGTGGACTTTGCTAACTTTTGAGAAGGCATCTTTTTACTCATGTACTCGACCGGCCTCAACTTTGGCCCCTCCTGTTGCGCAAGGACCGCGCCTATGCCATATTGGCTGGCGTCTGTGGTCACAACAAACGACTTGTCAGGATCAGGAAGTTTGAGAACTTCATAGTGTGTTAGAGCATACTTCAATTTCTTGAAGCTTGCCTCACACTCTTCAGTCCACTCCCAAGGGGTGTCAAGTC